CGTTTGTGCTGAATGTGAGCTTAAAGCTCGCATAGCCTATAACCAATTAAAGAACCAATAGCGACGCGTTCTTTAACTCATTACCAAACGTCAAAATACAGGCCAGCGCTACAAACAAGTTGATGAGCGAGTACATGTTAGGGAAGTTGAAGTCATTGACAAACTCGTTGACTTATCCCCAAACTACCCCTTCGCCAGAATTTCAAATAAAAACGGTCAAATTGCGTATGAAGAAATCGCAGAGGAATTGAAGCAGACAAGTGACAAAATCTTTGGAATGAAACTTTTTGCATGTTGACCGTCAAAACATACTTTATTTTCGACTTTATTCATTACCTGTTTGTAATAGATATTTTTGCTGTGTGTTCATAAGATCAAAGGACTCATCACTATTGGTTCTTTAATTTGTTATATGTGCGCATGTAGCTCACATTCTGCGCAAACGGTGAGTTTTTTGACTCACGTGGCCAAGTTCGATTTAAAATTATTTTTATTTTAATGATGACTTCCTTCTCCCACATTGAAAGAGTCATATGAGTTATCTGACGAAATACAGTTATTGTCAAAAGTCTTGTTTTTTTTGGTTTTGCGTTGCGTTTCTTCGACTATGGCAGAGTCTTTGTTTTAGTATTTCTTAAAGAATTATTTTATTTGGCCTTCTTAAGTTATTTGTACTTTGCAAAACACTCGTACTGTGAAGTGAGTGGTAAATGTTCATAGATTTATAGATTCTTGCGTGCAATTACTAAAAACCTGCAATAAAAACTACAGAAGGTATCTAGCTGTGTGGTTATGTGACTATATGTGACTTCGTCAATAAAAGATAACCACATGGTAAAAATGTTGTATAGGTGTAGTTTTGGGATAAATTATGGTAAGGATTGTATTACGTAATTAGTATGCGCATGTGTTGATTAGTGCATTCATGTTGCGATGTACAACCACTTCAGTTCCTTTGAAACCACAGTTCTCTTTGGTGAAGCTGCTTTAAACATCTTTTAAATACGAAAAGGAAAGTGCCATGATATAAATAACGCAAGAATAATCAAAAATAAAACATTAAAATGAATGTTATCTGAAATGGTGTTGTACATGCCGAAATGCCATATAGTACTTCAATCCTAACATTTTGTAATGGTTCGGTTGAATATACGAGAAAGGGGATCGACCTACGACCACCCTGCTTTATTTAATACAACTCTACAACTTTCGCATCATAAAATAGATATTTTTATCTCACATAAAAGAATGTGTTTTTCAAAAATAACTAAATAAGTCTATTGATATTAAGAACTCATGAATTGTGTGGAAAAAAATGATTAAATTCGCTTCAATATTCTAATACGCTTAAAGCAGGTTTCTCAAGAATGGAAAATAATTTATGGTTTACATATAACTAAATAAAACTCAAAAGCCATAACAATTATGAAGAAAATATGGTATAAATATATGATTAATGAATTTAGCAGAAACTCCTATTTACATGCATTCATGCCTTTATAATACAGTGTAAGGAATTTGCAGCAGTTTTTCCCTCTTTTTTCTGTCCCGTATCTTAGCTTTCTCCATCATGAATCTGGTCTTCTTCATTATTTTATGATTCTCTGCCCTGGGCAAATGAATAATTGTAATTTTCAGGAATGTCGTTGGTTGGCTTGCTTGCCATTAACATTGAAGTATGAGTTATTACTTTGTGTATAGGGGCTGCAGGAGATATAAATTGTTGTGTAGCAGCCGAAACTGATGAATATTGTACAGGGATGTTTGTAGTAGGCTGCATTGCATATGTACAAGGTGTTAGTTAATGTATATGAGTCGTAGAAGGTATAGATAGCTGCATAGCAAGCGAACATGATGAATACACTTCATGAATGTTTGTAGAAGGATCTCTTTCTTACATACAAGAATTTATACTATATATATGGGGTATAGGCTCATTAGAGGGTACAGATGGCTTTCATAAATACATGGCATTATACTAAGTATATGGGAAATAGGATCTCTAGAGAGTATAGATTGTTGCATAGCTGCAGAAACTGTTAAGAACTGCACAGGATTGTTTTTTGTTGAGTGAGTAGAACACCTGGAAGTTTCTGATGTGGCAAGGATATCAAGCATGGTATTTTTTGTTGCTATACTTATCTGTTGGTTTGAAGATATGGAAGCTGAGGAGGTTGGATTCTTGCCAATAATGGACCTCTGATTTTTTGACTTTTGATAAATTAAATATGTCAAATGTTTTGTTACTTATCCTACAAAATTTTGTGTCTATTTTCCAGAAAGTCTATTTAAAGAATACTTGTCAACCAAGCTGCATTGCGCGTTGATCACGGCGTGGCGGCCATTTTCTGAGTCACAAAAATGGCGGCTTGTGTTATTATTTGTTGTCCATGGAACTTTGACCAACTGACAAATTTAAAATAGAATTTTTAAGTAATTTTTAAAGATTTGATTTGAAATGGCGTCGTTTCCTAAGCGTGGAAGGCTAAAAACGGAACAACCCCCGGATTCGTTTACAGATTGAATTATACCACGAGTGGCTAAGACAAAAAGAGTTAAATAGAATGGCACAACAGACAGATAGTGAATTTGCTGCCTATTTGTATAAATTTTGGATGAAAAGAAAAACGTAGCTATAGTACTGCGTCTATAATTTACAACTACAAAACTAATAAATCACCATTACAAAATATCAACGTTGAGTTTTACATAAAATGACTATATTTTCTAAGCATTTTAGTATAAATATGATCTGCAAAGTGAAATTTACTTGTACCTTTGTCCGTTTCGAAGTTTGTACCAACTCGGCACTCGTAGTTACAGTCAAAATTCAGCTGCAGAAGGCCTTTTTTCTTCATGAACCGGAGACCCATAGCAATTGAAATTGTCCACAGGGTCATAAACAGACAAAGCCAAATCGGATTTGGAGTCTGACATTTTCGATGCGTTTTGAATTTGTACAAACTTTTCGATAATTTTTAAATAATGCTTTTTTTCTGAATTTTTTAGTTAAATTAGACGACGTATAGCAGCGACCTAGGATTCAGTGTACCGATCTCTAAAAATCAACGATGTAAGCATAAACAAAAGCGCGTAATGCATCGTGGTTAACACAGTTTCTTTAAAACATCTTTTCTAAGTATCTTGACAAATTCGTTGTACATCGATAAGTTTGTTCTCACACAATTACGCCAGTCTGTGTGAAACAGTTGTGAAAGTAAGGAAAATTGTCTAAGATAAACAGATAAATCTGATTGTTTGTCATTTTTTGACGTTGTGAACTCATCATTGCCATATGGATAAGTTCCCTGTAAGTGCAATCCTGTCTTCCAAAGAGAAAGTTTCTGTCGCTTAATATCCGGTTCTTGTGAAACACCGTAAAAGGAGCTGCTACTTTCACTGTAATTTAAGTGTATTGCCCAGTAATGTTCTAATTTTATGTCGTTTACACTTGATAGCTATTTCAATAAGCTTCGTATAACTGTTAGGTGGTTTGCTTGCTAATTCTGCATATTAATCCCTTCCTATTTGTAAACGGCGGCATTAGAAACTTAAGTTGTTTTAGTGTTCTGTTTCCAATTCAAAAATGTTTCCAGGAATCGTCATTGTGGTTCGGCAATTCTTTTAAGGAAGAAAATTCGTTTGTTGCTTGTGTCTGAGATCAGTTTTTTTCAACTACTCTCGACTTGTGTTTCATATCTCCAATAAAAACGGTGAATGAAGACAAAAATCTATTTAATATACAGCACCAGATTGCTCTACAAAGTGGTCCTATGTATGGCAAGCCAAAGTGGACAAAAGTGTATTGAGTTTTAAAAATTGATAGTTCAGTGTAAAACTAAGGAAATTGATAGTCGAGAAAAAGAAATCGCATGTTGAGAAAAAGAAATCGCATGTCGAGAAAAAGAAATCGCATGTCGAGAAAAAGAAATCGCATGTCGAGATTCGAGAAAAAGAAATCGTATGTCGAGATTCGAGAAAAAGAAAAATCGTATATCGAGATTTCTGTCTGTACAAGAGGTCAGCGGCTTCTAAACCATTCTACTTTTCAAAAAATGGCGTCTGATGCGTCTGACACGGAAGAGCTCATTCGATTTCTTAATTTCCTCGATAAACTGTTTGCTGATGTAACACAGAGTCTTCGTGTTAATGATCCAGTTTTAATAGAATATAATAAAAATAAACTTGAGATTTATATTCCAGTTATTGCTGCAATGTCTATTAAAGTACAACAACACGAGCTGACACGATTTGGCGAACCTGATGCTACTGGTGGAAATATACAAAGACGTTCACTAGGTGCTCTTTTAGATAATCTGATGGCATACATGAAAAGAGATTTAGGAAAAATAACAGAGGTTTTGGAAAATAATTTTAATCAAAATCTGACTCAGAGGGAAAGAATTGTGAAAATGCTCCCTAGTACGGGGGGTAGACCAGCGTATGATATAACCAAAGAACAAATCGAGCTATTGCGAGAGACAGGCATGAGCTGGAAGAGTATTGCTGCTTTTTTACAGGTATCAGAGAAAACCCTGTCACGTAGGAGGGAAGAATTTGGTATTGCATGAACTTATTCTCAAGTATTTGACAGTTGTTTGGACCAAACCATAGAAGGAATCCTGCAATTGACACCATATAGTGGAGAGACTTATGTGAAAGGAAGTTTGCATGCAAGGGGTGTACTTGTTCAGAGATCACGAGTGAGGGAAAGTTTGCAACGTGTTGATCCTATAGGTCAAAGCTTGAGAAGAAATTATGCTATTTGTCGAAGAGTTTATAATGTTAAGGGACCCAATAATTTATGGCATCTAGATTCATATCACAAGCTTATATCATGGAGGATGGTTATACATGGTTGCATTGATGGATTTAGTCGAGCCGTTATTTACTTAAAATGTTGCACTGATAATAGAGCATCAACAGTTTTGAATTTATTTAAGCAAGGTGTTGAAGATTTTGGATTGCCATCGAGAGTGAGAGGAGACCATAGTGTTGAAAATTTTGAGGTGGCAAAATATATGATTTCAAGCAGAGGGATGGACAGAGGAAGCTATATAGCTGGTCGAAGTGTTCATAACCAGCGGATAGAAAGACTATGGGCTGAGGTCAACAGAGTTCTATCTGCACTTTACAAAGGAATCTTCAAACATTTGGAAGAGAATTCATTACTTGATTCATTGAATGAGGTGCATCTATTCTGTTTACAGTTCGTTTATCTACCTCGAATTAATGCTTCATTGGCTGAATTTGTTACCCAATGGAATTACCATGGGCTCAGAACATGCTCTCACCAAACACTTATGGCTATGTGGCAAACGAACATGCTGTTGGAGTCAGACGAATCATCATTAATAAATTTTGAATTGTATGGAATAGATTTTGAAGGCCCATTGCCAGACATTATCACATCAAACAACATTGTTGTTCCAAACTCTGATGTGGAACTAACCGATGAGCAGTTTCAGATTTTGAATGACCAAGTTAATCCAATGTCAAATGATGGCGATAATGGAATCAACCATTACTTGCAAGCTCTACATATTATCGAGGACTTTCAATTAAGGACAGTAGTCAATGATAATGCAGATGATGAATACAACAGATATGTATGAATATATCATCGTTAAACTCTTTTATTGTCATTTTTAAAGCAGTTTTTTTCAAATATTTTAACCATTTGTTAAAAATGCCTGTAAATAATAATCCAAATTCAACAAAACAATTTAAAATGTAAATAGTAACACTCAATAGAAATGTTTGAGAAAAACTTATGCAATATGAAATGACCAACTTTTATCTTCCCTCATTATATTGTTAAATTCCTCAGCTAAGTCGGTATATGAATCATATGTGGTTGGTAACTCTATCATTGGACCACATGTATGCACAATAGGGCGACGATTAAAACCATCTAGCGATGTAAACTCAACAGTAATTTTATCACACACTATGACATCACTGCCAGTGACAAAATGAAGGAACTTTTTCAGGGTGTTACCTTCAAGGGATCGAACATAACGCTTCAAATGATCAAGGGCTCTTCTCTGGCTATCATTTTCCGTTTCGGCATCGATCATACGAAGAATTTTTCGTGCACTTGGACGTTTGCAATCATACAAATTTGTGAGACGTTCTATTGTTTGAAAAGCAGGATCAACTTTGAGTATGCTTAGGATAGGCCCCCAGCAATTTGCAATATATCTTGGCTTTTGAATTAACTCTTGATGAGCTAATTCAAAAGGATATCCTGAATGTTATCTTTTGTTGGTAGTCTATGACAGTTCCAGTTTGACAAAACTCTATAATCTCTTCATTGGTGGGGTCAAAATCATTACTGACACACTTGTCAAAATCTCTCTATCTTCGCTTGTGATGTAAGAATGAAATGAATCGAGCAAAGCTGGCCTAGTCAAGTGATCGTCTCCAAACAAACAAGTTGACATGAAGATGTGTGACAACTGCAATGGGAAGTAACCAACAGCCTTATATCCATATACCAAAAGTCTCGCTATAGCTTCCCATTCCATTTTTGGTACTCATGTCGAATAATCGGAGATTTTCTTTGCTTCCAATGCTCAAAACCGTATAAAATTCTTGCCAGAATGTTGAAAGAACATCTCTTGTTACACCTTCCCAGTTCCTTCTTCTTTTTCCCATTTGCATTTATCACTGAAAACTTTATGCAGTACTTCAATATTTCAGGATTTTTAAATGCCATGACCAAATCAACACGTATAGTTGTTCTATGCACCAATACCTCCACTGTCTCTTGCAACTCGTTTTCAAAGTGCACTGGGTGATTGTTGATCAGCTGTGGCTCCTCCAGGACTTCTGTGTAGTGACAAAATGACAAAATTAAAACAAAAAGCAGCAACTGAAGGTAAATGCGTATGCATATGTATGTTTATTTACCTTGTTGGTGAATGTTGTATGTTTCTGGTAGTTGCACTGTTGGAGTTGGAAAAGGGTCATTAGCATTTAAAGGATGATCAGTAACAGTTATAGAATGATCAGGAACAGTTAATGGATGATCAGGAACAGTTAAGGATTGCTCAAGAAGATATGAGGAGTGATGTTGGACTGTTGAAGCTGGATCAGCTGAGGTTTGAGAATGCTCTACTATAAAATAATTATCAATCACAATTGGTGTATGGTCAAACTTTTCACTTTCCAATCCTGTGGAAGATTAGGTCAAATCAAAAGTAAGTAACAACAATTATGTACTGTTTAGTTCTTGTTCAATTGAAATGTGGGAGGTAATTTTTGGAATACTACGTTATATGAACACATGACACCAGCTATAAATATTTTGACATTTGTTTTCAATTACAATTGATATGCAAATTCTATTCAAAATTTATGGCATAAAATATACAAGAGAAGAATAACAACTAACAAATAAAAAATGTTTACTGTATTTTAATAAGCCAGTAGTGCAAACACAGTAAACATCTTTTTTATAAAATAACAATCATACAATTGAGGTTAGATCATTTTGCACAGGCTAACCCTAACTCAATAGCCCAATCAACACACATATTGTATTGTTGTTATTTCATAGTATAAAATACACATAAAACCTTAACACTAAAGCACTTGGACTAAAGTAACACATACCTGTAGAGGAAATTATCCATCTCCACAGGTAAAACATGATCACTAGATGACCTGACCTAAAATGTTTGTACTTAAGTTAAAAGACCAAAATCATCAGACACACAATCTGAAATCACAGTACTCCAAAATAAAATGAGGGAGTATAAATTCATTGAAATACATCTAACCGAAGACCTTCTTTCTTTTTCTGTTATCTACATCCAAATGATTCAATTTCAGTATTTCTGTGTCTGGGCGAATGTAGACAGGTTTGTTCTTGTACAAACGATGAAGAATAACACCATCGATTCCCAGCTGATCTGGATCCAACGTTGGTGCAACCAATGTAGTATGAACGGACATAAGTATTTCAATGTCAACTAAATCTGGGATTTTACCATTAAAAATCTCCATGATTCTGGTTTCTACTTGAGCTGCAGTCATGTTCTTTGTAAATTGGCAGCCATTAACAACATGACCGTTCTCTGAACAAAACACGCGAGCCCTTGACGAGGAACTTTGTCTTCGTTGGGGCCACTAAGTAGTATTAAGTCACGAAGAAATGGCCTGTTATCAGTTAATTTCCGTTTCTTCCTACTTGAGATCCCTCTAGATGATTGAGAAGATGCTGATGACCTTGATGTTGAATTGAAAAAGCGTCGAGCTACATAGGGAGCCGGACGATTAGAAATGGAACTGCGACTGCGACTGGTTTGAGAGGACTCACTTTGCTGTTGAGGAACATCTTGTGTTTTCATTCGAACGATTACCTGAAAACGCGCCTAACTTCGCGATTTACATCACGCGTTGCTATCGCTTCAGAAGCTCCTGCACTCTGTTGATTAATTCGCCAACTATGCTGTTTGAATGGTTTTCCCCAGCCGCCATATTAATCAGACTTCCGCGTTTGCTTCGCGCGTTTTTGAAATGGTCAACCGCTGACCTCTTGTACAAACAGAAATCTCGACATACGATTTCTTTTTCTCGAATCTCGACATACGATTTCTTTTTCTCGAATCTCGACATGCGATTTCTTTTTCTCGACATGCGATTTCTTTTTCTCGACATGCGATTTCTTTTTCTCAACATGCGATTTCTTTTTCTCGACTATCAATTTCCTTAGTTTTACACTGAACTATCAATTTTTAAAACTCAATACACTTTTGTCCACTTTGGCTTGCCATACCTATGATTATTCTTTGTGCTGTCATTCCATGCAAAAGTGAAAAATAATTTAAAATTTATTCATTTTGTACTCCAGGTTGCATGGTTCAGTTGTGACGTCCGTTAAACTTTTTTTTGAGCACTATCAGTTGAAAATCACGTGTAACTAGGTGAGTTAAGAAACTGTTTATCACAAATCGTTTACACATGCCTGCATGTGTACATTAAAAGTTTTTGTTCGAGATTAAAGTATTTCCTGGAGTTTTTGCATTGTTTTGGTTTTTGTAAGAATGAAGTATGTCTTCCTCGTAATTTGGTGATTCTTCGTTTGGGATGATGCACTGTTGTACCATACAGGAACAATTGTAGTTGGTTGGCTTGCATACAGCACTGACGTGCATGGCGTTAGCTGTGAATTTAAACTTGTAGAATGTACATGATGTTGTCTAGATGCAGAGACTGGTATATAATGTAAAGAATTGTTTGTATTTGGGTAGCGTAGACACAACGTGGACATACAAGGCATTAGCTGGGGCATTGATTTGGTAGAAAGTACATATGGTTGTGTAGGTTCAGAGACTGTTGAATAATGTACAGAATCGTGTCTAGTATGCTGGCTGCATACATGCAAGGCATTTCAAGTCATAGGTGTTGCAGAGTTACATATTGTATTTTCGATTCGTTGATCGGCGAATAATGTGAAGGTCTGCTTGTGCAACCCTGGCTTGCCAAGGTCCAAGGCCTTACTTGGGGTATAAAGGTGTAGAAGATAAATATTGTTGTAGCTGCCGATGCTGGTGAATAATGTACAAGTCTTCTTGTAGGATGCTGGCTCATAGGTCCGAGTTCTTACGTGGGGTATAAATGGTGTAGAGGGTACGTACTGTGGTCTAGCTGCAAAGAATGGTGAATAAGGTACAGGTCTACTTGTAGAATGCTGGGTTGCAAAGGTCCATGGTATTGCATGGGGTATGAAGTGTGTGGGAGGTACATATTGTTTTCTCGTTGCCCGGACTGGTGAATAATGTGGAAGTTGGTTTGTAGAATGCTGGCTTGCATTGGTACATGGCATTATCTGGGGCATAAAATGTGCAGAATGTACATACTGTTGTCTAGCTGCCCGGACTGGTGAATAAGGTACAAGCATGTTTGTAGAATGCTGGCTTCTATACGTACAAGGCATTTCCTGGGACATACGTGGTATGGAAGGTACGTATGGTTGAGTCGATGCTGAGACTGGTGAATAATGTACAAGTTTGTTTGTTGCAGTTGAAATAAAAACAGATGAGGTGGCAAGGATATTTTGCATGATATTTGTTGTTGTTTGAGGACCATGCTGGTATAAAAGCGTGGAGGCTGATGAATTGGGAATGTTTTTATTGATAACCCGATGATTTTTGGTATATCCAAAGTAACAAATTGTGACTCTGACTGTGTAAAGTGAGCCGGCACGATTGCTTCTTCTTGTTTTCTTTCCTCAATTCACGCGGCCTTGGCAAATCAAATTTGTCGAACGTTTCTCCACTTATATTGCACAATGCCGGGTTTATTGTATAAAAATGCCATTTGACTCCGTCTTCCCGAGGTATCTGAACAAACTCTTCGTAGACTCTTAATGCCTTTTCGACACTTTTACCCCATCTGTTCGCACCTTTCTCAAAAAAAGGAAAGTTGTCTAAGATAAACTGACATATTTGAATCTTTGTCATCTTTTGACGTTGTGAACTCATGATTGCCATCTGGATAAGAGTCAAATATGTGCAGGCTGGATTTTCAAAGAAGGTTCCGTCGCTCATTCTCAGGTTCTTGTAAAACACTGTAAAAGGTGCTGCTACTTTCACTGTAATCTGGGTCTATTGCCCAGTAATGTTCACTATCTTTATCGTCCGATATCCGATGTAATTTTATAAAACAGTCAAAGCGTGATAAAACTTCATAAACATGAACATACCAACAAGGTGGGGCATTTGAATAGTATGGAAATTCGTTTATGATGTATTCACATATTTCAGATAATGTGCTAATTTTATGTTGCGTACTCTTGATAGCCATCTTAATAAGCTTTGTATAACAGTAAGGTGGTTCGTTTTGTAATCTTGTACATTGATCCCTCCCTGTTGGTAAAGTGCACATTGAGCAATTATGCTTGCTACAGTTTTCTGTTTCCAATCCTTCAATGTTTTCATGAACCGTGTCTGTGTCTTCGGGAGATTCATCTAAGGAAGAATCTTCGTTTGTTGCTACACTAACGCTTGTGTCTGAGCTCATTTTTTTTAGCCACCGTCGACTTGATTCTCACAGATAAAGTAATAGATAAATGTATGAGTAATTTATACTCATGCATTTAAAGCCTTGTTTGACTGCGTCATATGCATCATGATACAATGAAGCATTGATAAGGTCCATGAAATGGGACAAAAACTCCCTTCCTTTGTGTTACAAATCTCCAATAAGATCGCCGAATGAAGACAAAAATCTAATTATATATGCTGCACCCAGATTGCTCTACAAAGTGGTCCTACTGATTATTCCTTATGCTGTCATTCTATGCAAATGTGAAAATAATTTAAACTTTATTCACTTTGTACTCCAGATTACATGGTGCAGTTGTGACGTCCGTTAAATTATTTTGAACTATTAGGCCTGATTATATGGAGCTGGCGGATAGTGAGCTAACTCGATGATTTCAAGGGATTGAAAAGACCAAAAATATCAAGGTTAAAAATTACAATTGTTTGCGAAGCCCGGCATGTCACTCCGGTTGTAATTCTTAAGTTAGGGCAAATTGGTTGTTTCAATTTTAAGTGTTTTGAGAAGTTATTAAATCAGAATATTGTGAAATTGCTTGAGAAGATTATCTGATGATAAGTATTGAATCGCTTCCATTTGCCAAAATCATTTAACGCTTGGCTGAATCCCGGCTACCGGCCTCATGTATTCAGCCTTTAATTTAAAATAATGATTATATTGCAGTAATTATGCACCTTTTTATATATAGTTTTACATGTTTCTGCAAAATCGCCAACTCTAATCTCCTAAGACGTAGGAAGACCGACAATTGGAGAGGGGAAGGCACATATTTATACTTATATTTTTTGAAGTATTAAGTTCCTTTGAAATGTATAATTCCTTACGGATTAAGACATGCAGACATGTGAAAATGTGCTTTACCAGTTTATTAACGAGTTTGCTACGCCACTGGCTATATCTTTAAGAATCCTTTCCTGACTTTACAAGAGTAAAGCCTTTTGTTTTTTCTTTAGTCTTGCTTTGGCTATGAAAGACAATGAGATTGCTGAACAAAACGAGAATGCCGTTCCACGGTTATAGCAAATAAAAATAAAAGAGCAAGTTTTATATCGGAAGTAGAAAGGTATTGTCAACTTTTTTTTGCTGTGCAGTGGCATCAAATTAAATTACAGGAGTATTCCTGGATCAAATCTTTTATATTATGAATTTACGGGCATGATTGGCTACGCTCCCACTGAAAGTTTTGATACAATCAACATAACGATAGATCATACAGCCATTTTTCAACACGATGTACACCAATATGGTGGCTATGTGAAAAATGATTTGCATGAGCAATCTTATTTTAAGACATGGATTGATTAAAGAAATTTTGTAAATTTTGTAATGTAGTCAAACACGTTTCCACCATTTCTTGTTGCAATATCTGATAGCATTGACTTGGTCACCAAAAGTAACGAGGTGGAAAACCAAAACAAGCACATGTATTTTTGTTATTTTAGCGATGAAGTTACATTATTATTAGGATTTACAAAAAGGACGCCTGCTAAGGTGTACACTCGTGCTCTGGTGATCAAATAATTTCCGTTTTGATGCATCATGATCCGATTTCTCAAAATCAAAAAGTCGATTTCTCGACACGGCAAGCCGAAACCTCTACTCAAGCCGAACCTTCTAGAGAACAAGTAATTAGGGCTTGGATCAGTCGTGTTGGTAGTTAAAAAGGTTAAAGGTTGTTTTATAAAAACACCCGTGAAATAATGTATTTTTTTAGAAAGAAGGTTTAAAATATGGATATTTTCAAAATGCCTTTGATACGTAATTTTGAAATTAAATCGTTTGAAATGACCATGGAGTTCTAAACTTGTTAGCACATGTCTTTTCTTGATTCTCGGGATATTCGGGTTTTAAAAGGTATAATCTCTTCCATCTAGTTTATATTTAAATTATTCTCCTATGGTCTTTAAATCGCGCAACAACTTGGAAGCTCCAAAGCCATCGACCAAATTACTGTTTACTTAAAAGTTAGCTTATCCTCTAGAAATTATTGAAGCGCTATTATTGGCTTAATAATGCAGTTCTTTGTAGACATTAGACAGAAGCAGTTTGTTTTCAAAATATCTTTATTTTGACGATAACTACCCCTTCCATACTAGAGGAGTCCTCATGTAAATTACAAAGATATATTCAAGATTACAAGTTGATTCACCCTCAAGAGCTGGAGGGCTTTGACGCAGCTCTACTGAAACTCCAGCTCGACTATTTCCTGGGTTTCGTGGGTTTTAGAACTTCTGGTTTTCCATTGCATGGTTTTTAGAAATCTTGTGAAATAAATACTCTGATAATCAGGTTTGCTACTCGAATAAATTGGTAAAACCAGGGTACAATATATGTTGCTGTATGTGCAGCATTAGGTTAAGAAAGGAATGTCTGAATATAAAAGTTGCCTTAAAGATATTGTAACGTAAATTGCACGTTGTGGGCTGACCTCACTTTAGTAAAGTAAAAAGAAAGCTGACTTCATTTGATTGTGCATTTCATTGTATTAAACATGCGCCACATAAAGTCGAACGTTATACTTGTTTGGTTGTGGTACAATGGTACTCCAGTAGAATGATAACGCTGATTACAATGTATGCTAAGATGAAGCTAATTATGAGTGATAAATGGATGATTTTTTGTATGTATCAGGAAACAGTAAGGCACGTGATCAAACATTTAATTAACTTGGCTTGTAACTGCTTAACGCCAATCGTAGGGTGTCTTCTTTTCACGTTGTGAACTCACGATTTCCATCTTTATAAAATCCAAATAAGATCCACATAATAACACCAACTGACCATTCAAACGGTCTTTGCGCAAAAATATTTAAGAATGAACAGTAACTCTTCATAAAAACCTGTAGTACGTGGGGCTGCAACTGATTTACATCAGTCATATGGTGTCTTTTTGACGTTTTGGGCTCATGATTGTTTATTTGATAAGATCCAAGTAAGATCCAGATAATTACACCAAATTACCATCCAAACGGCCTTTGCAAAAAATTTTTTTAAGAATGAACAGTAACTTTTTATAAAAACCTGTAGTACTTGGGGTTGTAACTGATTTACGCCAGTCATACGGTGTCTTCTTTTGACGTTGTAAATTTATTATTGCCATCTGTATAAGATACCATTAAGTGTAACATGGTGTTTCAAGAGGTTCCCTTTGCTTAATCTTTGGTTCTATTAAAAAATGTAAAAGAAACTGTTACTTTCACTGTAATCTGGTTCATTTTTTCAGTAATGGTCACTATCTTCATCTTCTGATTTTGGATGCACTTTTAAAAAAACAGTCAAAACGTGCTAAAACTTTATAAAGATGGGCGTAAAAACCTGATGGAGCTTTTGAATAGTGTGCAGAATTGTAAAAGTATTGAGGTATTTCAAATAATGTGCAAAGTTTACATTGGGTATTGTTGATAGCCATCTTAATTAGCTTCATATAATGCCTAGTGGATTTGTATGTAGATGCTACACATTGAACATCGCTGTTGGTAAACTACAGAACGAACAACTGCTTTCTCTGTAGTTTTTTGTTTTTAAGCCAAAACACTTTCAGACTTTGATAGTCTTACTGGAGTTATAACCATACGTTTAACCATAAGTGCATGTATGTCCTTGCCATAAATATTTTACAACAATACCATCATTGATTTCTTTATTATTGTATTGTTTTTGCTGAGTTAACTGAAATGAACTTGCATGCATAACTAGCAATGTTAAAAAATCAGGCTTGCTGAACTTTGGTTTAGAAACGTCAGAACGTTTTTTGTTGCATCTCTTACTTACCTTAGTTGACCTGAAATGTTTTTGTTTATAAAAGTTTAGCGCAACCTGCTTGTTTTCATTTAGTAATAACTCTTCTACAACAATGTATTTTACCAACTTGTTTATAATAGTACAAATCCTAACATCATTTATATAGCTTATAAAAATCTTCTGAAAGTACATCGTTATACAAAATAAAAGTGCGATAAGCGTTAAAAAAATTACGTGTAACTACGTGAGTTAAAATTATTAATCACAAATCGTTGTCCACATGCCTGCATGTGAACATTAAAAATTTCCGTTTGAGGTTACAGTATTTCCTGGAGTTTTTGCATTGTTTTGGTTTTGCCGAGAATAAAGTCGATCTTCCTCGTATTCTGGGGATTTTTCGTTTTGGGCTGATGCACAGTTGTACCATACAGGAATAGTTGTAGTTGGTTGGTTTGCATACAATGCCGAGGTATAAGGCGTTACCTGAGTTATTAAACTTGTAGAAGGTATATGATGTTGTCTAGCTGCAGAGACTGGTGTATAATGTGTAAGATTATTTGTATTTGGGTGACTTGCATACAACGCTGACGTACAAGGCATTAGCTGTGGTATTGGTGTTGTAGATGTTACATATTGTTGTGTTATTTCACAGACTGGTGAATAATGTACTGGTCTGGTTGTAGAATACTGGCTTTCATATGTCCAAGGAATTACCAGGGGTGCAAAGTGTGCAGAATGTACATATTGCTGTGTAGCTGCCAAGAGTGGTGAATAATGTACAAGTCCGTTTGTTGAAGGCTGGTTTATATAGTTCCAAGGCATTACCCAGGGTGTGAAGGGTGTAGAAGGTACATATTGCTGTGTAGCTGCCAAGAGTGGTGAATAACGTACAAGTCCGTTTGTTGAAGGCTGGTTTATATAGTTCCAAGGCATTACCCAGGGTATGAAGGGTGTGGAAGGTACATATTGCTGTGTAGCTGCCAGGAGTGGTGAATAATGTACAAGTCCGTTTGTTGAAGGCTGGTTTGCATAGTTCCAAGGCATTACCCATGGTATGAAGGGTGTAGTAGGTACATATTGCTGTGTAACTGCCAAGAGTGGTGAATAATGCACAATTCCGCTTGTTGAAGGCTGGTTTGCATAGTTCCAAGGCATTACCCATGGTATAAAGGGTGTAGTAAGTACATATTGCTGTGTAACTGCAAAGAGTGGTGAATA